CGCCCCCCCCCCCCCCCCCCCCCCCCTTGGATTTTCCATTTCACAGACTCCACATCACTTCTCCCGATGTTATGACAAACCCTGGTTGATAAACAGTAAAGCGGGCACCCCCCTGAGGGGATTCGATTATTCCGACTTCCAGCTCCCGAGCACTGAGGTAGAGTATGGTCTCGCAGTCCCGAAGACCTGCCGACAGGCCGGCGTGCCGCTGGCCCGGAGAAGTCCTGCTCCCTTGCCTGTTTTAACGCTTTTCTCGTGGTAGAGCAGCGCTTGTTGGCACCGCTAACGCTCCGACTGTTAGCGTTTTTCATGGGTTTCTAACTCGGATTAAATAAAACATCGACCCTGCGAGCAAAGCACGACTGCTCGCCGTTCGCGCTCACCTGCTTGCGAACCAAGAGAGCGCCGTTTGTCCTCCGGTGCTTTAATAAAAGGGGAATTGCCCCGAGCTTTGGTAGCCTTTAAGCATTGACAAGCAGCCGAGTTTGGCTTTCAAAAAATCGAAACCCAGCAGCCGAGTTGAGACTTGAAAATCAGCTACAGCGCATGCACAGTAACCACGGCGCCTTCGGTTTTAAGAAGCGCTTGTATTTATCACCGTGTGGACGCACGTGTGGCGTGGTCGGCACCGGCACCAGCTTGATACACTCCCAGGAGGAGGAATTCGGGCTGAGACTTTGATCTCCCTAAAGTTCCAGCCTCCTCGTGGACTTCCCTGACCTTGTGAACCGGTGATGGTCGATCTCGGTGCTTCACCGAGTGGTGGTGTGCGCTGGCGAGACAGCCGCGTCTTGCTCGGCGGTGCTTTCACGCAGAAAAGGAATTAATTTTGAAATCATCGGAAGGTCAGGAGCACTCCCCCCAACTGCCCTAAGCTGCCTGCTTGCTGCTCTTAACTTGTTTATAAAATAGGATCGAGGACGAGAACCGAAATCTCTGATGATGAAAATGGCACCTTCACAATCACGCGTTAGCGGGTTTTAATTCCCCCAGCGCCCGAAGGGGAGCCCCCTGCTCGGCTGCCCCTCGCCCCCCGCCCTCTCCCCCACTGCAGCTCCAGTTTCGTGACATTGCAAGATTTCCATGTTTCCCATAAAAACCCACAAAATCTCAGGGGGTGGTGGGAAACCTCTCCAGCTAATTGGGAAATGCCCTCCGGTATTAGGGTACATCTATCCAGGGGTGCGGCTGGGCTGGAGCCCTCCCTGCCCCGGGGGACGGGGACACCACGGGCAGTCGCTTCCCTGCAGCGCTGCCCCGGGCCCAGAGCTTTGGTTGCTCTACAGAAACTGGAGCTGCCCTTTCCAGCTGGATCCAGGCGCCCTCGCCCCACCAGCGCCTTCCCTTTTGCTTCCTTCCGCAGCGGTGGGAGCAGAGCTGCCTGTTGCGCTGCTTTTCCACCCCGCTGTCTGCCTTTGCGACATCTTAAAGGTCAGGGAAAGCACCGTTTCAGGATGCAACCGAAGCGGATTCCCCGTGGTTTGTGTCCTCCTTTGTCGCTGGTGCCTCGGGCGGTGGGCGCACGGACCCTACCCGGGTCCCCTCCCCACCTCGCAGGATCCCGCTGCGCTGATGCCTCCCTACAGCGGGATGCGTTTCTCAAGACACTGCATTGTATTTGACCTTCCAAAATGGTCCTGAGCTGCTTAGATGCCCAAATACCTATTTTTGCAAGATTTCACTTTCTCTGTGGAGCTTTTGAGCCCAGATGATGCCGTCATCCTCCGGACGGATCGCAGCTTTCCTTTGATTTATTTATTTTTTCCCCAACGAAGAGCTGTGCATCAACCTGCGACGCACAAGCTGCCGTTGCCCTCCAAATTTTCAGGATCCGGGCTTTTTTCATGTTTTTTTATCAACCGCTGCTGAAACGCCAGCTCGTGTTCTCCTTGACCGTTAAGATGGGTGTTTCTTAAATGTCAAAATCTTTTGATACTGATTCTCGGATGTGATCTGGGCCCGTTACGGCCCCGGCAACACCTAAAAGATGCTCTCTGTGTGTGTGTGCTTCCTCCCAAGGTGACCCCCTCCCCAGGCAGCAAGCTGAAGCGACCCACCTTCCACTCCAGCCGAACCTCCCTGGCTGGGGACACCAGTAACAGCTCCTCACCAGTCTCTACAGGTGCCAAAACCAGTCGGGCAGGTAAGTTGGGTGCAAAGACCAAAAAACTCCTCCTGCTGCTCTTCCTCCTTGGTGGCTTGGATTGGCAGAGAAAATATAAAATGTTTCGGGAACCCGCAGCG